CCCCCCCCCCCCTCCCCTACAGGAGCGTATACAGGGGGGTCTATTGGGGCTGACCCCCCCCCTTCCCTACATAAGCTCCTCAAATAGAAATCACATCAACGAATTACATCCTATAATGTAATATTTTCAGTCAAATTTTGATTTCTCAATCAAAATTCGTCAAAAATAGTGTGATGTATATGCTTTAATATTAAATATACATAGCCCAAAAAAATATTAAATGGGAAATACGAAAAATCTTCGTTTAATGGGCGAAAAAGGATTCTAAGACTGACCACTGACCAGGGTCGGACAATAAACATGAGTTTAACTATTGTGTTGTTTCAGGTTGCGGGATAAGCTGATTGTGATGATTGTTAGCTATGAGGTTAAACAAGGACTGCTTTTCAACCTTTAAACTCTTTTTCATTTTTTTATATAAAGGGACCACCCATTTAAAGAGTAGAATGTTCGATTCAAAACGGTACCTTATCGTCAACATTTTGAGAAAACCCATAACTAAAAATTACCAATTTTAAGCTAGACAAATATAGAAATCTCATTCATTCATGATGAAACAAAGTTCAATTACATCCTGTACATTATATACATCGAAGTTTACTTGAATATACGCTAACAGTCTCTTTAATAAGTTTAAATTTTACCCAATTTTTGTGAGTAGGAGGGGAGAGGGTAATTAAATTGCTGTAGCCAGTAGAGTTGTAAATTGGTTAACAAGGATTCATACCAATTCTAGTAGAAGTTCTACTGTATAATGTGCTAGACTGTTTATTATTATTGAGTTAGTTAGTTTTATGCCAGTCTTCCAACCTTTCTTATCCTCAAGACACTGCTGCAGTCTTCACACAAATAATTATTCAATTGGATAGACTGCAGAACAATTCTAATTAAAACCATTATTTTCGGGAACCATGTAATCTATTTTTAATAGAATTTTACTTTGATCTGTTGAAAATCAGCAAGCAAAATGTATCTTATTAGAGCATACTGCACCAATATCCCGGAACCGGAAATACAAGTTTCAACACCGGAAGTGAAAGCCTCGTGTCCCAGGGGTCCTGGTATGACCGGCTAAGCTATGTCAGGAGTGAGGAGTCCTCTGGAGAATGATCAGATGATCAGTAATGTAAACCGGGATCCAGATTCGGGGCTCCGATGGGACGAAATGCAGGACGATGGGGGTGGTCGGGACGACCAGCGTGGACAACTCGTCCGCGCCGGGTCGTTAACATCTCTGGCACCGGAGCCGTACATGATAATGCAGAGCCGGAGCTCAAACCGCCGCGTCATCCTCAACGTTGGCGGGGTGAAGCACGAGGTACTCTGGAGAACATTAGAGAGACTTCCCCACACCCGCCTTGGTCGGCTTCGGGACTGCCAGAGCCACGACGCGATCATGGAACTCTGTGACGATTATAGTTTGATAGAAAACGAATATTTTTTCGATCGACATCCGCGATCATTCAGCTCGATTCTAAACTTTTACCGAACTGGTAAACTTCATTTAGTTGAGGAAATGTGTGTTCTAGCATTCAGTGATGACCTAGAGTACTGGGGTATAGATGAACTATACCTGGAATCATGTTGTCAGCACAAGTATCATCAACGGAAGGAACATGTGCATGAAGAGATGAGAAAAGAGGCGGAGAGCCTTATCGCACATGAGGAGGAGGATTGGGGGGATGGTAAATGTGCTAAGTATCAAAAGTTCTTGTGGGATTTGCTGGAAAAACCGACAACGTCCGTGGCAGCAAGGGTGAGTACTCTAGTTCTTATAGTTTAGTGATTAACTCAGATAATATCATTAACACTGTGTTCATTAATCGTAACAAAATTTTCCATAAACCAGGATATTTTAAATTATTTTGTTTGATTCTGATCACATCAGGGTAATCACAGAGTGATGTAGGTTTAAGATTGTGAATTTGTATGTTTGTGCTGAAAACATGATATTTTAAAAATTTGACAGATAAGTCTGAATTCCCTGTTTTTCAAGATGATGGATTGAGGATAGAATTAGCTACGGATAGGAAGGAAGGGGGCCGGGGGAAGGGGGGGATATGGAAAACAAATTCTATATATCGCCTTTTGAAAACGAGCATTCTATATTTTTGTTGTTGTCTTTGTTCTCTTTTCTCATTCATTTAAGCAATAATATTTGCTCTAAAATAGGTTAGGATAATGTGTACTGACATGTTTACATTTTACATCGCCTTTTGAAAACGAGCATTCTATATTTTTGTTGTTGTCTTTGTTCTCTTTTCTCATTCATTTAAGCAATAATATTTGCTCTAAAATAGGTTAGGATAATGTGTACTGACATGTTTACATTTTACACAAAGATTAAGTTAGTTTATGTTCCTGCAGTTCAAATCTTGAAGTTCAAAAATCTTCAAAATTACTGTTTTTGGTGGTGTATAGGTTTTGGGGTGAAATGATTATATATATAAAAAAGAAGGGATGGAGGGGGGAAGTGATTCCGTTATGTTATGGCACAGTTAGAGAGAAAATAAAAATGGCTAAAAGAGATTTATCATAAGGACTTGTTTTTCGGTCTTCACACAGTAATTTTTAGTCAACATACACTCAATATCACAAGAGAAATATCCTTTGATGCTTTATTATAAAATATGAAAGAAATTGTTTGTAAGAAAGGATTTCAATCAATGGTTCAAGATTTTTCTCTCTCAAGCTGAGATTCTGGTAGTTTCAAAGTTTTGTTGAGTTTTCTTTTTCAAATTCAGGACAAACAAATTTATGGCTAAAAGCCATAAATTTGGAAATACTTTCTTGCATTGGGCTCTTGGTCGAATTACATTAAACGAGGAGGTAAACTTTGCTCAGGCCCTATAAATACAAGATAAGCCCTCTTAAATGTGCATTTTTGATATTTTGAGCCTTCCTTAGAAAATATTAAACAATTTTGCCAGGTTGGATTAGGTTAAGTTTACATAGCATCATATATCAGCCTTGAAATAATCCAAAGTGACCAAACTGAAAATACATTTTGTTATGTACACTGTAAACTGTACAATGTACAGTGTACACTGTACACTGTACAAGTTGTACATAAGAAGAACATAAGTAAATTATAGAAATTTACAGCAATTTGCATTCAGTACAGTGCTGTACAAAAATATTGAGATAGATGTGTGTGGGGTACCGAAAATGTACATTCAGTACAGTGCAGTACAAAAATATTGACATCGTGGTGTGTGGGGTACCAAAAATGTACATTCAGTACAATGCAGTACAAAAATATTGACATCGATGTGTGTGGGGTAGAGAAATTGTACATTCAGTACAGTGCTGTACAAAAATATTGACATCGATGTGTGTGGGGTAGAGAAATTGTACAATCTATGTATATATGTCCATAAAATATATAGAAGTTGTAAATATAATTCCATTACAGTAAAGAAGGATTTGAAAAGCTTAAAAGTTTTTGAAAAATGTCCATCTCTTATGGCTGGACATAAATTTCCCACAAACCATATTTAAAAGGAAACCTCCATTAGAATCTTGGATTCGTATATTTAAATGTTCTGAACATGTTTCATGTTTTAAATTTAATCCATTTCTCACTGCATCAAATATTTCCATTAGTTATAGTTTTGCCGCAATGTCTTTTTTATCATATGAGAGAGTGAAGTTTCCGTTCTGCGGTTTGTTATAACATGACAAAATGATTTTGGTGGATTATCAAGAAAATAAGCATATAAACTGTACAATGTACAGTTTTCTGTACAAATGTACAAAATCCCTACTGTGGCACATTGAAAAATCTACACATTTTTCCTCTAAATGATTGAGGAAAGTTTGGTGTTGGTTTAGTTTTACAAATATCTCGAGTTGAATTCTTCGGTAAAATTAGGAGTTTAGCTTCGTACAAACTTCCATTTTATCTCCAGACTAGGTTTCCATTACACAAATGGAACATAAATCTGAACTTTCCGACCAACTTTAGTTTACACAGCACAATTTTATTTGTTTAGTTATGAACTGTATGAAAGAGAAAAAATACATTTTGGGGGTCATAATAGTCGAACCTAGTCGAACCTTTAACTTAAATAAAACTGTGTTTCTAAGGTTTATTTTTAGTATTCTAGTCGGGGTCCAGTGATTTGCACAATTTATCATGTAAAATCTTTATGTATTTTACAACAGGAAATTTCATGTTGTTGTCGGTTTTTATAGAAATTCATGATTTTATTTTGGAACCTATTTTTGAATCGTTATATTAAATTATATTAAATTAGTTATTAGGGGGGGGGGGGAAGGTGGCAACGATAATTCTCTTTAAAAATCTGTTTTTTTTCTACAGAATAATCCCCCCCCCTCTCAGGAATTGTGACTGGCGAGGACAGGTAGAAATGTAGATATTTGACCAGCCTACTAGCCTACTCACAGATAATTCCTAATTATGCGGGACCGTCTCCCTTCTGACCTTCAGATATTTAAAAAAAAAACATTTTTGTATTTTTTTTCAATAGATATATCTTTAAACATTTCTTTGGAGCAAATCGTTACTCTCTTGAAAAAGTCTAAAATGTAAAAAACATGCAAAAAAATATTTTAAAAGGTCTATTATACTTTAAAACACTCCCTAGAGACATTTTTGGAAAAGTTGTTGATATCAAACAAAATTGTTTTGATCAGATTGTTTTTTTTCAGTCTTGTTTATATGTATATTTTTAAATAGTGCTGGGTAGTACCTTGATTTGTTTTTGCAGAATTTTAAATATTTTTTATCACCTAAATTCTGTGAATCCTTGAAGGTACAACCATTTCAAAACTGAGTTCTGTAAAAAGTTCGATTTCATACGAAACATGAAAAATTTGTATCCTATGAGATAGTATAATGGAAAAACTAAAAAAAAAACAATCATTTTCGATTTTTTGTTGCATCATGTCTCCTCTCATAATCAAACTTTGGCATAGTGTAAGAAAAGCAAATGTTTTGAATAAACTATTTTATAATCATTAAAACTTATCAGATGTCTTCTTAAAAATGTTAAAAAGGTAAAAAGTTGAACAAAAACGAATACAAATTTTGTCCATCATTATGTATGTAATGTATATTTATATATTTGGTCAAGTTTTGTAAAATATATTCTAAGATGAATCCTGTAGAGAATATGCATGCAAGGACGTGAATCTTTATCCCCAGTTTTCTTTACAAAATATATAAGATACAGAGGAAACCAAATCACATGGAAATATTATCTGTAAACGAAAAAATTTGACTGAGACAGTTTCATCCTGAAAAAAATCTTGTCACTCCAACCTAGACTTTGTGAACTAGTAGCTCCTCTCTTTTTTGTTTTTCGCCCAAGTAAAAATCCCAAACAGAAGTTAGAAACTAATCTTTTTCTTTCTTTTCAACTACTCTTCAAAAAGGGTATTTTTATTGAAAATTTGGACAATTTTGTAATCTGCCATACAATTTATTTTAATTTGACATGCATTGTAGATTACTTCTAAGTCTTGAAATCCATGTGTGAGTATATAAACTGCATTGTAGTTCTCAGATAATTCTTATATTATCTGGTTAATTAGATTAATACTAATCTATCTTTAGTTCTGTATCAGGAGCCACCTGGTATTATCTTATACTCTAGTCTTCTCCAGGGATTAATAGGGTTAAGAGGCTCAAAGTCTCAATAATTCATTGGAATACATTTTATGCTTTTTTATCTACTTAGCTTCTCTTGAAAGGTTGCAAAGTATGGATTTGTTAGTATGGATTGTCTAGTATGGATTGTCTAGCATGGATTGTCAATTAAAGATTGTCTAGTAAGGTTTGTCTAGTATGGATTGTCTAGTATGGATTGTCTAGTATGGATAATTAGTATGGATTGTCTAGTATGGATTGTCTAGTATGGATTGTCTAGTATGGATTTTCTAGTATGGATTGTCAATTAAAGATAGTCTAGTAAGGATTGTCTAGTATGGATTGTCTAGTATGGATTGTCTAGTATGGATAATTAGTATGGATTGTATAGTATGGATTTTCCAGTATTGATTGTCTACTATGGAATGTCCAGTATGGATTGTCTAGTATGGATTATCTGGTATGGATTAACTAGTATTGATTATCTAGTATTTATTGTCTAGTATGGATTGTCTAGTATGGATTGTCCAGTATGGATTGTCTAGTATGGATTGTCTAGTATGGATAATTAGTATGGATTGTCTAGTATGGATTTTCCAGTATTGATTGTCTACTATG